GGGCCAGGGGATGGCAGCAATTTGTCGGGCTCGTCTGAATAACCGGCCACCAAGGAAGATCAGCCGCCCACCGCCCCGGCCAAGTATTGTTTTTGGAACTCACTGCTGCTTTTTTCGGCTCCTGTCTTACTTTTCTTTGACCTTCTTCCCTGATTTAAGACACATGCCCAGCCCTTGCCCAGCTGCACTGAATTAGCGGCTGCTGCTGGGGAGGGAAGAGGGAACCAGACCCTGTGGTGGCCCCGGGAGCAGCCGGTGGGGACAGGTTCCCCAGGCCAAGAGGGGTTCCTCGGGCAGGATGAGTCCCCTGGGCAGGGTCCCCAGGGTTAGGATGGCTTTGCCTGCAGATTTGGGTCCCCGTGGAGCTCCCAGTGAGGGGATAGTCCCCTGTCCCTTGTTGAGTATGGCAGGGACACCTGTGGGGCCACAACTCTGGGTCCAGAGAGGGGCAGGCCCAGAGGTGGCAGGGTCTGTCCCATGAGGAAGGATCTGTGCGTGCAGGGACTTTTGGGGCATTAGTGGGGCCGTGCTGGGGGTTGGGGCTGGCAGTTACTGGTGTCTGTGCTGGGTTCAGGGACAGTGGGGTCTGCACTGGGATGTCTGTGCAGGGGTCACTGCTTCAGGGGACACCCAGGGAGCCACGCTTGCTGTTGTCAGGGTTTGTGCTGGGGGAGCAGATTTAGGGTTAATGGGATCTGTGCTGGACTTGGGAACAAGTGGGAGTAGCAGGGTCTGCATGGGGCCAATCCTTGCCGGGAGCTGTTTCAGGGGACATTGTTCCCTCCAGGCAGGGTCACTCTGGGACACAGCTGCTCCAGCCAGGGAATGGCATCGCTGCTCTGGGATGAGTGGGGCTGGATCTGGAGTGCTCACCCCATCCCACAGCTCTGTCCTTTCCTGTGGCCACCTCCTCACCTCAGAGCAGCACTTGGCCTTGGCACCCTCGCCAGGCATGACCCTGTGGCATGGCAGTGGCAGTTGTCACCTGCCACCCCTCTCTCAGCCCTGGCAGGAATCCAGCTGAGCTCCTTCCTCCTCCTCCTCCTCCTCCCCACAGTCATGAGGGACCCCAAGGGCCAAATCCTGCCCTTGGGGACCAGCTTGGTGCTGCCCTGGCTCCACACAGGGATGTCCAACCCTCTGCCTGCTGCTTTCCAAGCTGTGCTGCTCCTCACCAGGAAGGCTCCCAACACCTTTCCATCCCATGGTGGGGTTGTGGGCCCCCAGCCAGGAAGCACTGATTTTCCAAATTGGAAAAAAAATGGGATGCGGGAAGGAGGGGCCAGGGATGGGGATGCATTTTCCTTGTTTTCTTTTTGGGGCTGGACTCATCCAGCAGCGCTCACTAAATGGAAAAAGGCAGTCAGAGCACGTCTTGTGTGCCGGGCCAGGCGCCAGCCGCCGGGCTGGCTGCAACTGGGGCAAACTGGGGGAGTTTCTCACTGGTCCAGAGGGAGTGGAGAGGTCCAAGGCACCCAGAGCTCGAGTGGGAGCACCCGGAATGCTGCAGGCGTGGGGGAGCCGGCCCTGGGGTGTTGTGGTGTGGCAGCGCCTGACGCCCGCACAGCGGCTCCGGTGGGCACAGTGTCAGCTGGGATTCCAGGTGGGATTTCTGCACCTGGTGGGAGCAGATCCTGCAAAGGGGAGAGGGTCCGGGTGCTGCTGAGGTGGCCAGCCCTGTGCAGGAGCCTGTCTCTTTGTGGCACTGGCTCCTGTACTGCCCAGCCACTCCCTGCAGGTTGTTGGCTCGGGAAAATTGCAGGTGGGATTTATGGAGGTCTGCTGGAATGGGGATAACCTCGCTGGGTGGTGAGAGGATCCCTGACCCTGCTGGGCATGTGCCTCTGCCACAGCTTTTTCTTCTGGTTGCACTGGAATGCAGCGCAGTGGGAATGAGCCTGGCAGGTCCCCAGGGCTCCACAGCCACCTCGGGAGGGAGCTTGGAGCGACTCGGCCAGGAGTGACCCCCTGTCCCTCTGCTCCCACAGGATGAGTTCCACCCCTTCATCGAGGCGCTGCTCCCCCACGTCAGGGCCTTTGCCTACACCTGGTTCAACCTGCAGGCCCGCAAGCGCAAGTACTTCAAGAAGCACGAGAAGAGGATGACGAAGGATGAGGAGAGGGCGGTGAAGGACGAGCTGCTGAGCGAGAAGCCGGAGGTGAAGCAGAAATGGGCCTCGCGCCTCCTGGCCAAGCTGCGCAAGGACATCCGGCCCGAGTGCCGCGAGGACTTCGTGCTCTCCATCACGGGCAAGAAGCCCTCGTGCTGCGTCCTCTCCAACCCCGACCAGAAGGGCAAGATCCGCCGCATCGACTGCCTGCGGCAGGCGGACAAGGTGTGGCGGCTGGACCTGGTCATGGTCATCCTCTTCAAAGGGATCCCGCTGGAGAGCACCGACGGCGAGCGCCTGGTCAAGTCGGGCCAGTGCACCAACCCCATCCTCTGCGTCCAGCCCCACCACATCAGCGTCTCCGTCAAGGAGCTCGACCTCTACCTGGCCTACTTCGTCCGTGAGAGAGGTGGGTGCTGTGTGCCTGCAGGGCAGGGCCTGCCTGTGCTTTAGCTGTCCCTCCCCACCTGTCCCATCCCCGTCTCCAGCTGGGGACACCGCTCCCAAACACCTTTCCCATTGCAGACCTCGCAGTGCTTCCCTCTCCAAACTGCCCCCCACCCTGGCGCCTCTCCCCCAGCCAGGGCTGATCCCAGCTGCCCAGGAGCAGCACACAAAGGTGCCTGAGGATGCTGCTGCCTCTGGGCATTCCCAGCATGGAGTTTTGGGGGTTAAACCCAGAGCTAACCCCACATCCTGTGCCTAGCTGAGCAGAGTGAGTGGGCAGCGTGGGCAGGGAAGGGGCAGCCTGTTCCTGGTGCATCCCCAAGGGCTGGAGCTGGAGGAGGTCCAGCAGTGCCCATTTGCCATGGACTATGGTGCCAACCCCTTGGTGCCAGAGCAGGGACAGGGCAGCGAGGCTGGCTGGGGAGGGCACAGCAATAATGGTGGGGGCAGCTCCTGCTGGGGATACTGGTCCTGGCCCTTCACCTGCCTGGAGGTGCCATGGACTTGCTGGGAGAACTGGCTGCTTTCATTGCAGCAAGGAGGGTCAAACCTGCTCCCAAAGGGAGAAACTGAGTCACGGAGTGCAGCGCAGGCAGCAGCTCTCTCTCTCTCAGTTCAGGTCCCTGAGCCATTGTTCTCTCCACCAGCTCACATCACCTCCCCACATGCTGGGAAGGGGAGGCTCAGTGTAGGGATTTTACCTGGGCAGGTTTGTTGTCCTCGGCTGGTGACATGTGGCACAGACACCCTGACAGCAGCTGGGATGCCCCACTCACCCTGCCATCCCCCAGCACCCCCAGGTGTGTGAGGGGCCAGGGGAGCTGCTGTGTGATCCCAGCTGTGGGCTGGGCTGTGGCACAAGGCTGGCTCACAGACAGGAGGGTCTGGGACTTGCAGCCCTAGGGGCAGTCAAGGGTCTCCTGGCCACCTCTGGCCAGGCCAGGCTACCCAGGTGTGCAGGGGTGGCAGGATATTGGTCCCCTCTTGGCAGCACCTCCTGCCCATGCCCACAGCACCAGGTGATGTCCCCCAGCCCCGTGAGCCCACCCTCACCAGCACCAGGGCAGGGGGAACGTGGGGCTGTGGCTCTTTGCTTGGTACTGGCCAGAGCCCAGGGACAGACAGTGACACCACAGAGGCCACTGTGGTGCCAGCAGTGCCAGCAAATCAGGTGCCAGTGTTGTGAATCACGGTGGGCACACTCTCTGCCCAGCTATCCATGGGATATGCTGGGTGTCACTGGGGAAACTGAGGCAGGGCAGGCATGTGACCTCCCCCACCACCCAGGGAAGGGGTTTCTACCAGGCCCTCGTGGCGCTGGGGAAAGGTGGGGCACAGCCTCCAGCAGGGAATAGCCAGGGCCAGACCCTGCCCCAGGGCCCAGCTGGGACCCTGGGCTGGTGTGGGGCACATCCATGGTTGCACACACGTGTGCAGCCTGGACCTGTCTGCCCAGCCGTGCCCCCGTGTGCCAGCACGTGTGCTGCCAGGACCTGTGCCCATGCACGTGACTTGCCCGCTCCGTGGCACCAAGGGACCCAGCACGGGAAGGATGGGTGCCCTGCTGGGAAGGGGGTCCCAGGGTGCAGGCTGGGGGTGCCCTGTGCACCCAGACAGGAGTGGGGTGTGTGGGCTGGGCTGGGCTGCTGCACGCTGTAACTGGGGGGCACCCTGTACCCACTGGGACGGGGCTGCTGCACACTGAGCTGGACTGGGGGCACACTGTGCTGGCTCAGCTGGAGGTGCAGCGTCACACTGGGCTGGAGCACCCTGAACTGGGGGCACCCTGATGCTGGACTGGGGGCCCTACAGTGGCCAGGCTGAAGGCAGGGAGCAGAACCCCCACAGCCTCTGCAGCGGGTCCCCATTGCCACCTGGTGTGCCTCGCTGGCCATGCCGTGTCCAGCTGCTGTCCCCGGGAGGTGGCTGCCCCTCTCCCACCCCCGCCCCTCCAGCGGCGACCTTGACCCCGGTGTCTGGGTCCCCAGCAGCCGCAGTCACCTGACTGTCTAATTGGGAACACAGCGGCTGTAAATACTCCCTGATAAGGCCTGGCAGCCTCTCACTTTCACTGTTAAGGTCGCTCTGGCCCTGGTTAAGGGGGACCAGCATGGGTCAGGAGCAATAGCATGGGACCCCTGGGGTGCTGCAGGGTGCTGGGTGCTCGGCATGGCCTGGTCCCAGCCCACGGTGGGCATGTTCTGTCAGGCTGTGGCCGATGGGAGGGGTGTCCGGCCTCCCACCTTGGTGGGGAAACTGAGGCAGGGAAGAAGCCACCACATCGATGGGACCGTGCATGGCATGGCCAGGCTGCTGACAGCACTCGAGGGGTGCTGGGGATCTCTGTACCACAGCCTGGTGGGCTCACGAGCTTCTCCCTGCCCGACACGCTGCCCTCCTGCTCCTTCCTACCTGCTCCTGCCCGGCACACTGCCCGTTCCTACCTGCCCCCTCCTGCCTGATTCTGCATCTTCCCTCCTTCTTGCCCCCTCCTGCCTGGTTCTGCCTCTCCCTCCTTCCTGCCCGCTCCTGCCCTCTCCTGCCTGCCCGCNCGGGCACCGCCGAGCCCAGGCCCGAACAGAGTCCCTTTGTGCAGGTCAGCCCCCACCCACTTCTGTCACTTGGGAGGCGTCCAAAACCCTCCCGAAATAGGACCCGGCCGGGCTCAGCCTTTGAATCTGCCCAGGAAGGCTCTGCTGAGCTGCCGAAAGCGGATGAACATTCCCCTTCCACCCCGCTGAACCAGTCCCGTCCTTCAGTGCAGGCTCTGGCCAGGCTCAGAGCTGACCCTCTCCAGCCCCTTTGATCTCCAGGCCCCACCCGTGCCTCAGTTTCTCCTCTCTCTGTGGAGGGTCCTGGCAGGTTGTCCCGATGAGATGCTGCAGGAGGGGCTGAGCCTTTGGCACATCCGTGGCACAGCAAAGGCGCAGCTGGGCCGGGGGGGCCGTGAACTCCTCACCTCCAGGGCGCCGGGGTGGCCGATCCTCCTGCGAGGTCGCCGAAAAGGCCGGGGCTATTTTTAACCACGGACTTGCTCCCGGGATTGGATTTGCAGCAGAGTGAGCCCCACAAACCCATCACAGCACTGCCCATCAGGGGCTGCAGAGACACCCCCAGCACCAACCACCCCCAGGACGGAGCTGGGGACACCTCTCTGCACCCCCACCTTTAATGGTGCACCATTAATCCCCCTCGGAAAGGCCAGGACAAAGCAGGCAGGGCTAAAAATATGTTGGGAGGGAAATAAAACCTCCTGCGTCAGGGGCTAAAGCCGGGCTCAGAGCCCTGGGCCCGGCATGGGGGGGCTGGGGGGACCCTTTGTGGCGGTGCCCCCTCCCCAGAGTGAACAGAGTGCTGCCAACCCCAACAGATCTCCTGCCTCAGTTTCCCTCTGTGCTGCTGGGAACAAATTCCATCCCCAGGTCGCGTCCTGGCAGTTCCCAGGCTGACCCTGGGCTCTGGGATGGGCAGAGCTGTGGGTCTGGGACACTGCAGCCCCTCGTGTGCCAGGAGCGGGGATGGGGGACAGGCCACCCCCAGGGCCCCGCGCTGGCGCAGGGCAGGGCGGAGGAGCAGCAGCGCCAGGACCCGTTGGCAAAGCTCTTTTTTTCTTTTTTTTTTTTTTCCAGTTCCATAAAACATTTCCCTTCCT